GTAAAGTATTCGACCAATTAATGGGACTGAAGGAAGGCTCATCTCCAGAACCTGATGGCCTGTATCCAAAGGTTTTAAAGACAGTGGGTCCAGAGATTGTGGAGGCATTGAATGAAATATTCCAGAATTTGCTCGATTCTGAGAGATTTCCAGTAGAATGGAAAACCGTTCATGTGATACCCTGTTGAAGAGAAGGGGATTCAGAAAGTGGGAAACTATAGACCAGTTAGCATAACATCGGACTTTGGGAAAACCCAAGAATCCATTATTAAGGATGCAAAAGTAGGACTTCAGATTTAGAATATTTTGAAGCAGTCAAATAGAGCCAGAGATAACACAGTGTGCATCAGCAGTTCTTACTATCTCCAAATAGAGTCAGCATGGCTTTGTGAAAGGGAAGTCATGTTTGACAAATTTGCTTGACTTCTTTGAGGATCTAAGAAGCAGAGTCAATAATGGGGGAAACAGTAGTGTAATATGTTTGGATTTCCAGAAGCCATTTAATAAGATGCCACGAAAAAGTTATTGAACAAGGTGGTAGCTCATGGAATTTCGAGTAGTGTATGAATTGAGAATTGGTTAAAACACAGAGTCAGGATTAATGCGTCTTTTTCAGGTTGGAGGGACGTAACTGGGCTAAAGGATCATTCTGAGGGCCTTGAAATGATTAGGTTAGTTTAGGATGAAAGCTTTAGTTAAGTAATCAGTCCAAAAAACAGGGCTTTCAAACTATTTGGGAACTACAGATGTTCAACAAAATTAATAGCAAACTAGAAATTTAAGAATAGTAGCATAGAAGTCATAGTTTCAGAGGCCTTGGGTAAAAGAACAGAATGTACCAATGAAAGACTATGGGAAACAAAGATAATATGGGACACATGGATATTTAAGTGTGGGAATTGTAACATGCATGCTGTAATCTGTATAAAGTATGGAGATGTTCTGTTAGCAATCAGAATGAGTTTTAAACTTCACAGTGTTAAGCCTCCCTCTCCTTATGTGTGTATGAAATAAACAATTGTCTATTCTGCTGATGTCCTCTTAGAAATATGTCAAGTTGATCTCCATAACAGACCTCAATTGTTTCCTATTTATATTAAAGAGTGTAACATATCCAAATATACTGATGATACAAAAATTGGTAGGAAAACATGCTGTGATGATAAAATAAGGATCTAAATGGGGAAAAGGATAGGTTGAGCAAGTGGGCAAAAACCTGGCAGTTGAAGTTCAATGCAGGAAAGTGAGGTCATGCACTTTGATAGGAAGAATCAAAAAGCAGACTGTTATTTAAATGATGGGAGATTCCACAAAGGGATGTGGGTGTTCTTAGGTATGGGATACAAAAAGTTAGCATACAAGTGCTGCAAGTAATTAAGAAGGCAAATGAAAGTTGCAAGGTGGTTGAAGTTTTGAAATAGGTACATCTTCGTACAACTGTACAGGATGTTGGTGAGCCTGCACCTAGGAGTACTGTGCGCAGTTTGGTCCCCATATTTAAGGAAGGACATACTGCTATTGGTAGCCATTCAAAAGTGATTCATTAGACTATTTCCTGGAAAGAACTGGTTGATTTATCAAAAATGGCTAAACTAGTTAGGCTTTTATTTTTAAAAGTTTAGAAGAATAAGAGGTGATCTTATTAGAACATTTAAGATTCTGAGGATTCTTGAAAAGGTAGATGTTTATAAGGTGTTTCCATTAGTGTAGGAATCTTGAGCTGGGGACACAACAGAATTATAGGATACTCATTTAAAACTGAGATTAGAAGGAATTTCTTCTCATTTTCATTCAATGAAAGATTGGAATTCCCTACCCCAAAGAGTTGCGGAGCTAGACCACTGAAGGTTTTTCAAGAGAATGTCATTAGATTTTTGAAATGTCAGGGGAGGAGCTGGCATGAAAGAGGACTTGAGTCCTGGGATAGATCAGCCATGATCTTGTTCAATGACAGGGCAGGCTTGAGAGACTCACTATCTTGCTCCTCCAAATTCTTATAATTTTATGTACTAATTCAGCTGGCCAAGTCCTAATGAAGTCCTGCTCAGCTGATGAAGGAAGCAACAAGATTGGAAATGATATTTGACTTCATCCTCCGATATGTCTGGCCATGGCAGCATTGGTTGGAGAGACCATCGCACAGTCCTTGTGGAGACCAAATCCCATCTTCTTGTTGAAGGTATCCTCCATGGTGTGTAACACTATACCATGCTAGGTGGGATTGATTTTGAACAGACCTACAATTCAAATCGAGCATCCCATGACGTGTTGTGGATGATCAGTGGTAGTAGAATTGTACTCAAACATAACTACAACCTTATGATCCTGCATATTCCCGCTCTATCAATATCATCAACCCAGGAGGTCAATCCTGGTTCAGTAAAGAGTGCAGGGCTCAGCTCCTGTGTGTACCAGCTGATGGAAGTATTCGCTGACATCTTTAACCTCTCCTTGCTACAATCTGAAGGCCCCACCTGCCTTAAGAATATCACTGTCACCCCAGTACTAAAGATAACACATGCAACATGCCTTACTGACTACCAAATGGTGGCTCTCACCTCCATATTCATGAAGTGCTTCAAGAGGTTAAGCATGGCCCACATTCACTCTAGCCTCGATCCCTTGCAATATGCCTACCGGTGAAATAGGTCCACAGCGAACGTCTGGATAATAAGGGTACATATGTTGGACTCCTGCTTATCAACTACGGCTCTGCCTTCCAACACTATAATCCCAATGAAACTAATCTCAAAACTTCGAGACCTAGGTTTTGGCTCTGTCCTCTGCAACTGGATCCCCAGCTTCCTGACCCACAGATCGCAATCAGCGAAGAGAGACAACCGCACCTCCTTCATGATAATCCTCAACAATGGTGCGCTGCAAGGATGCCTGCTCAGCCCCCTGTTGTATTCCCTGTACAGGCATGACTGTGGCCAAATTTCGTACGAATGTCATCGACAAGTTTGCTGATGACACCACTGTTGTAGGCCGGATATCAAAAAAAAAGAGTCAGAATACAGGAAAGGAGATAAGGTGCTTGGTGTCATGGTGCAATAGATAATAGTCTCTCTCTCTGTCAGCAAAACAAAAGAACTGATCATTGAATTCAGGAAGAAAGGAGGAGGACACACCCCTATCTACATCAATGGAGTGGAGTTGGAGAGGGTTGAAAGTGACAAGTGTCTTGGAGTGACGATGACCAACAATCCGTCCTGGACATCCCACGTAGTGGCAGTGGTCAAGAAGACCCAACAAGAGCTGTTATTCCTCAGGAGGCTGAGGAAATTTGGCGTGTCCATAAGGACCCTCACCAACATTTACAGATACTACATAGAAAACATTCTATCTGGGTGCGTAATGACTTGGTATACGTTCTGCTCAGGACTGTAAGAAACTACAGAAACTTGTGTACCCAGCCCAGACCATTACAAAAGCCAACTTCCCATCCATGGACTCCATTTACACTTCTCGTTGCCGTGGAAAGGCTGCCAACATCATCAAAGATCCCTCCCATCCTGGTAATAATCTCATCCAACTTTTAACGTCAGGCAGAAGATACAGAAGTTTAAACACATGTACCAACAGGTTCAAGAACAGCTTCTTCTCTGCTGTTATTAGATTTTTGAATGGACCTGTCTAACTTGAAATCTAATCTTGACCTTGCTTTTGTGCACCTTCTGTACAGCTGTAATCTTGTAAGCCTCGCTCTGTATAAACATCCAATGATTTGTATGTCCTAGTATGTTATGTTATGATCTGCCTGTACTGCTCACAAAACAAAGTTTTCCGCTGTACTTAGACATATGTGACTACAATAAATCAAATCAGGACTGTCGCTAGACTATGAATCCAGAGACCTGGTAATATTCTGGGGTCGCAACTTTGAATCTCGCTATGGCACATGAAGGAATTTGAATTCAATAAAAATCTGCAGTTAAGAGTCTAGTGTGATTATATAACCAGTGTTGATTGTTGGGGGAAAAAAGACATCTGATTCACTAATGCTCTTTAGGGAAGAATGCATCCTTACCTGGTCTGGATGTGACTCCAGACACAGCAGTATGACTGACTTTTAACTGCCCACTGGGCAATGCTGGCCTAACCAGCAATGTCCACATCCCATAAGTGAATGAATAAATAAAAGTGGCCATGCCAGAAGTAGCATCAAGCATACCTAAGAAAGAGATTTTAGCTTGGTGAGGCTATAAAATGGGAATACTTGCGTGCTAAACATCAAAATGCAGGATTAAAAAGATAGGAAATAAGAAACAGAGTAGGCTATTTGCCCCCTGATATTGCTGTGCCGTCAAGTGGCCCTTCTATCTCAGCTACGTTTTACCCAAGTTATCACCATACTCTTTGATTTTCTCAAGTCAGTAACAACTCTCATTTCTGTAGGGGGTAATTGCATAAAAAAAGACCAAGTGATAGGGCTAAGTGATTCCACAACCAATGGATCACATCTAAGGTCTGCATCCAGTTGTGGATGGTGATAAGTAATTAAATAACTCATCAGAGGAAGAGACTCCATAAATGTCCACATTGTCAATGATGGTGGAGTCTAGCACACGGCACAAAAGATAAGGCAGAAGCATTTGCAACTATTTTCAGCCAGCAGTGCTGAGTGGATGAGCCATCTGAGTCTCATCCAGAGATCCCCAGCATCACAGATGCCAGTCTACTGCCAGTTCAGTTCATTGCACATGAAATTAAGAAATGGCTTAATCATATTTTAAGGTTTTGAATTTTCCATTTTGAATTCATGAGCTGAAACTGATGTTCCCCTGCTGCCTGAAAAACAACTACTCACCCATCAGATGAGGTATCAGCAGGTTGCCAAAGCCTGTGGAATTGCAGAATCAGAGCCTCAGAAAAAGTTAGAAGGAACTAATCTGCACACATTGCATTTCAGAGAATCCAATTCTTGCATAGTGTTTGCATTATTTGTAATAGATTATGAAGCTGATTTTAATTCTGCTCCTACCTAATTCTATTCTCAGTTTGATTGAAGATTGCCTTCCTCCTCTACACTACTCCCCATCAAAGCGTGTATCACCTGCAAAACGCAAACAATACTACATCAATCAAGCAATTCGCAACTCTGATCTCATTCCCAAGGCAAAAGGAAGAAAAAGTCTGAGGAGACTTGAAAACAGTAAGACTGGATATTAAGAATGCAGGGTTTCCAAAATGCTCATTTTCTGTTGCCAGCAAGACTGACAGCTTGAATTATTAATAGCATTTATTACTGTTATAGTTAAATGTTAATGTGGTTTCTTTTACTGATCTAAATTGCATTTAGTCAGGTATTCAAAAAGAACGTTGACTGGATTAAACAATCTGGGATATTGTGCTCTTTTAGAAAGTGTAATTGGTTTCTGGTGCTTGTTGTACTCAACTTTGCTAAAAGCTTGTTGAGTAAATACACTTCCTAATGTGGAAATAGAAAGATGCAAATTGCTATTATTCAATCGCTTTCACAACTTGTGGTGCTGTAAAGCATTTTGTAACCAATTAATCACTTCTGAAATATAGGCAAACAGATCAGCAGACTTTTGCAGAGCAGTTCATATTTAACAGCACCCTGCTTGAAAAACAGTTCAGATCAGCGCCATGTTAATCTGTTTTAGTGATGTTGAACGATCAGTGTTGAGACACAAAAAGAACTCCAAACAGTTCTGATGAAAAGTCAATGGACTCCAACTTCTCACAGGTGCTGCCAGAACTGCCGGGTTTCTCCAGCAATTACTGTTTTTGTTCAGATCTTCAACATCTGCACTTCTTTGTTTTACTATACAAAAAGAACTCTCTTTCCCTTCAAAGATAGTTTGGAATATAATGTATGGAGTACAGCAAGCAGGCAGGGCTACGGTTTATTACGTTTTCCAGGAGATGGTACCTCTAACAGTGCACTTCCTCTGAATAGAATTGTTGGAGACTGAGACAAATGGAATTGTCAAATTGAAGCTTTAGAATTAGTGCTCCATTATCTAATCTTGGCTAGAAGCGTGGTTTTAGTACTAGAGTTAATCTAGCATCCTAGTTTCAGGAAGGGAAAATAAATCAAAGGTTTTTTTTGTAAACACTGATTCCTGCTGGAACACGCATGTTAGCTGAGAACTGAATAAGGCTTTGCTGTTAAAAGGCTGTCCATGATGGAAAACCGGCCATTGCTCATTTGCGTTGCTCACATCTGAATGGTGTGTAACTGAGGGGTGACATGAAGGTTCTGATATTCTTACAATATTTCCATTGTTTTCATGCTTACTACTCTGTGAGCTCTCTGAGCAAGATTGACAAGTTGCTGTATTGCATCTCTTCAGGTAGATAAATTTTCAAGGTGATATGCAAGTGGGGTTTGCAGGAAGAAGGTCCAACTAGAAATTTGTTAAGGAAGTAAGACCCAGATTGAGGAACCTCTTTCTTTGAGCCTGGTACTCACTAGATTCAGGGAAGGCACTAATCAGAGGCTACCTCAATTAATTCATGTAGCATGGCAAATCTCACTTCTGAGTTACAATTCAGCATGATGAAATAAATTAATGTTAATCATTAATCAGTTTATTCACCAACTATAAACAAAATAAATAATTTATTGACATTACTTGAATTTTCAATTAGTTTACCTTTCAAAGGTAGGAGAAATCCATGTAGGGGTACATGTGAGATTTCAGTATGCAATCCACATAAGAAATAGTTTTCATAGTGTTAGTGGGATGTTGTGCTCATGTAACAAGAATTTTGACCATGAAGGGAAACTTCTAAATGCAGATGACATAGTTCTGCTTAAAGCAGTGGCTGATAGCACTGAGTCAGTGAGAATGACTACTTCAGACTCAAACTAGTGGTGCATGTATGAGTAGCCTTGTTATTTAGTATAATGACCTTTTCTTTGTAAGTCCCAGCTGGTAATTGAGCTAATATGGAAACGGAAAATACTGGAGAAACTTGACAGATCTGGCAGTATCTGTGGAGAGACAAACTGAGTCAACATTCCAAGTCCAAAATGACTCTTTGAAAGAAATTTCCAACAATTTCTGTTTTTATTGCAGATTTCCAGCATCTGTGATATTTAATATTTACCTGATAGCATGCCATATTTGATATTACATGAGAAGAAAGCTGGCGATCTCAAGGTTTATATGTTGGTTATGCTTAATTTAAATTCCGTGGAATAGAATAGGATATAGACAAGTCCAGTCACTGGCTCAGTGTGATTACTTCATGATTATAAACTAGCAAACCCTGCTTAGTACTCATTACTGAATTTACAGCGTGAAAACACATCTGTGCTTTTCTTTATTTTGTTTAGCTCATTACTTGATGAACCTTATAGAGAAAGATGACTGTACCAAGGATGAAGGAGACCAGACAGATCCTGCCTCCCCTACAATTTTCACAGAAGCTTGTAGTAATGATGACTATGTTGAGGTATTCTAGTTTATTAACTTGACTTTTGAATTAGAACTTTACTAATGTGTACCTTGATTAAAATGAACTATCATCAAGATCATTAATTTATGATGAATTAATAACTCAGATTCTGTTTATGACATGAGATTCTGTATTTTTCTTTAAACCAGTCTTCTGATTATTCAGTTTATAATCATGGTCATGGGTTTATGGTCGTCAAGCCAAATTTCATTCATTGTAAATTCTGAGATTTTAATCTGTGCTTTGGTAATTCTTCTTTGTTAGTTTTGTGCATTCTTTCATGAGAACAGCAAACCATTGACTCTGCTCATAAATAGACTCAGAGTTGGAAACAGCACTGAAACAGACCTTTTGGTCCAACCAGTCCATGCTGAACATAATCCCAAACTAAACTAGTTCCACCTGCCTGTTCCTGGCCCATATCCCTCCAAACCTTTCCTTTTCATGTATCTATCCAAATGTCTTTTAAATGTTGCAATTGTACCTGCATCCACCATTTCTTCAGGAAGTTCATTTCACACGCGAACTACCCTCAGTGTAAAAAAATTGCCTCTTATGTCTTTCTTAAATCTCTCACCCCTCACCTTAAAAATGTGTCCCCTAGTCTTGAAATCCCTGATCCCAGGGAAAAGACAACTACCATTAACTCTATCTATACCTCTCTATTTTATAAACTTCTATCAGATTGCCTGTCAACCTTCTACACTCCAGTGAAGGATATCCCAGCCTCTCCAGCCTTTCTTTATAAGTCAAACCTTCCATACCCGGCAACATCCTGTAAATCTCTTCTAAACCCTCTCCAGCTTGATTATATTCTTCCTGTAACTGGGCACCAGAATTGTACACAGTATTCTAGAAGAGGCGTCAAAGTCCTGAACAACCTCAACATGACTTCCCAACTCCTATACTTAAGGGACTGAACAATGAATGCAAGTGTGCCAAGCGCCGTTTTAACCACCCTGTCTATATGTGACGCAAAATTCAAAGAATTATAAATCTGCACCCCTAGGCCCCTTGTTCTACAACACTACCCAAGGACCTACCATTAATTGTTTAACCCTACCCTTGTTTGTTGTACCAAAATGCAGTACCTCTCATAAAGAGTCATAGAGATACACGGCACGGAAACAGACCCTTCTGTCCATCTCATCCATGCCGACCAGATATCCTAAATAAATCTAGTCCCATTTTCCAGCATTTGATCCATTTCCGTCTAAACCCTTCCTATCCATATATCCATCCAGATGCCTTTAAGATGTTATAATTGTACCAGCTTCCACCACTTCCTCTGGCAGCTCATGCCACACACTCAGGTCCCTTTTAAATCTTTCCCCTCTCACCTTAAACCCATGCCCTCTAGTTTTGGGCATCCCACTCCAGGGAAGAGACCTTGTCCATATACCTTATCCATGCCCCTCATGATTTTATAAACTTCTATAAGGTCACCCCTCCGCCTCCAACACTCCAGGGAAAATAGCTCCAGTCTATTCAACCTCTCCCTACAGCTCAAACCCTCCAATCCTGACAACGTCCTTGTAAATCTTTCCTACACCCTTTCAAGTTTCACAGCATCCTTCCTATTGCAGGGAAACCAGAATTGCACACCGTATTCCAATGGCCAAACCAACGTCCTGTACAGCTGCGACATGACCTCCCAACTCCTATACTGAATGCACTGACCAATAAAGGAAAGCATACCAAACGCCACCTTCACTATCCTATCTATCTGTGACTCCACTTTCAAGGAACTGTTAATCTGTGCTCTAAGGTCTCTTTGTTCAGCAACACTCCCCACGACCTAACCATTAAGCATATGACTTGCCCTGATTTGCCTTTCCAAAATGCAGCACCTCACATTTATCTAAATTAAACTTCATCTGCCACTTCTCAGCCCATTGGCCCATCTGATCAAGATCCCGTTGCAGTTGGTGTCATCTGCAAACTTACTAACCATACCTCCTATGTTCACATCCAAATCATTTATAAAAATGTCAAAAAGTAGTGGACACAGCACCAATCCTTGTGGCACACCGCTGGTCACAGGCTTCCAGTCTGAAAAGCAACCTCCCACCACTATCCTCTGTCTTCCAACCTCGAGCCAGTTCTGAATCCAAATGGCTAGTTCTCCTTGTATTCCATATGATCTAACCTTACTAACCAGTCTACCATGAGGAACCTTGTCGACCGCCTTGCTGAAGTCCATATAGATCACGTCCACCACTCTGCCCTCATGAGTCCTCTTTGTTACTTCTTCAAAAAACTCAATCGTGTTAGTGAGACAGGATTTCCCATGCACAAAGCCATGTTGACTATCTCTAACCAGTCCTTGTCTTTCCAAATACATGTACATCCTGTCCCTCAGGATTCCTCCCAACTACTTGCCCACCACTGATGTCAGGCTTGGAACCTGGCATACCCTTTGTTACATTAGAGCCAGGGTAACGCTTATGCACAATACCTGTTTACTTAAGGAAACAGATCTTGATGAAATAGATCAGTGGGCTGAAAAATGGCAAATGGGGGTTAATTTAGATAAATGCTGGGTAATCCAAGATGGAGGACGGGAAAAATTTGTGGCGGTAATAGCTGCTCCATTTTTGGCAGTCAGTCCTACATTCCCCTTGGAGCCCATCACCTCCAACATTTTCCAAAACAGCATACTTGTTTGAGATGGGGATAGCCACGGGAGATTCCTACACTACCTGCCTACCCCTCCAACCTTTCCTGGATGTCACCCATTTACCTGATTGTATCTTCAGTTTATCTCCCTCCCAGCAACTGCCATCCATCATATGCCCTAGCTCCTGTAAATTCCATTTCTCTCTAACTGCTGCTCCAACCAATCCATGCAATCCAATAGGAGGCTCCACTGATGATGTCACCTAGCATGGTGATGAAACGTCCGAACAAAAACAAACAAGCCAGCTCGGCGAGCAAGTCAACAACCTCATCCACAACTCAAGCTACAGATCTTTGCCAAAACTTTAAACAGGTATTGTGCACAAGTGTTAGATAACCATAACTCTTGGGGAAAGTTCCTGGAAAAGCATGAAACTCTCATGCTTACAACATGTGAAGTTGCTACTCTGTTCCAGATGGGTGGGTAGGTTTCTTTTAAATTGATAATTGCCTCCTGTGTGAGGAATTATGTGGAATTGCGAATGCATCATTGGATCATATGAAAATTTGAAGTTTCTTGTTCCCTACAATTTGTCAGGTTAGTTTTACAAAATTCTGTGCACAGTTTTAATTTATAATTGTGTCAGTCTTAAAACAGAAGAAAGAAGACCAATAATTCGACATTGAAAAATAATAAAACTGTGAGGTAATATTTTTAGTGTTGACCTGTAAAATTCCAGCAGATTCAATCATCACACAGCTGCAGTTGGTCTGGCTGTTCAATGCCTTCTTATTTCCAGTTTGTGATTTGTTTAGTTTTACATACTTGATCTGCTAACTATGCATCTTGCAAAAGCAAGTTTTATTTACTTGCTTCCTCTTCACTCCATTTTAGAACAGAAATAGTTGCATTGTTGAGCATTGCTTATGTCTTACATTATATAAATTGCTAATTCTCCTTGTGTTGTACATGTCCTCAGTTCTACTTCGCTACTGTTTGTGTGCCCCTCACAATGAAATAAAGATCACTACCAATTGATATGTTTTTAGTTAACCTCCCTGTGAGCCATGATTTCAGCTTTGTACACTTTTTCAGGGCACTACCATGTGAGTGTAGGGCTAAGGAGATGCCATTGCAACAGAGCTGACTCTAATAATTAGGAATGTATTTTTGCTGTTATCATCTTCCACTCTGTTTCAATGTTTTAATATTGGAATGAAAGGTAATGCTTGAAGAAATATTCAGATACAGAATCTTGAAATTTGCTGAAACACCTCTCTGTGAGCACAGATTTTATTAAATTATAAAGTATGAACTAAATAACATTTGCAGTGCAAAATTTACCATTTGCTAGGTAACAAATATGCCAAATTGATACAAGAAATGACAGCTTTTTACCCATTAGGTTTTTATTGCTGCACAATGTGCCTGGTAGATGGTGGTTAAATTCCATTTTTCAGGTCTGGAATGATTTCATGAACCGTACTGGTGAGGAACAAGAGAAGTTTCTACATTACCTAGAGGAAGAAGCGAAGAAAAAGAGCAAAGGAAAAGTGCATCTGCATTCACAGGACAAAAGAGGGAGTAAGAAACAACCCTTAAGAACATGGGAATCAAATATCTGTTTGAAATTCATTTACCTCATAGCTGATCTTTACCTGCATTTATCCATCTTTGCTTCATATTCCTTGATTTCCTAACTCAAGAAAAATGTTATCAAATCTTCATTGGAAAAATTCATTTTACTCTGAATCTACAACCTTTTGGTGAAAAGTTCCTTCTAATTTCTACTATCCTCTACATTGAAAGATATCCCCTGTTTTTACTCCTGACCAGGCAATTTAAAAAATATGCCCCTTTTATTCTGGATTTCCCCTCTGGAATCAAACAAATAGTTTCTCTTTAGTTACCCTATTACTTCTCTATCGTTCTAATCACCTTGATTAAATCACTCTTCATATTTGATAGGGCATGAGCGTAGTGCTGGGAAAAAGTAAAATGTCATCTGGCGCTATCTGTAAAGAGTTTATTTTCTGAATCCAGTATGATTTATCATAGTCACTAAAGAGCGTTAGAAATGTGATGGGTTTTATGCTGTTGAGAAAGAGAAGTGGCTCAGGTGGTACAAAATGGAAGGTCAGATATTTTTAAAAGAACAAGGAGAGATGGGACACAAGGCAAAAGGTGTGGTAGTTGTTGTATTAAGGAAATAGAACATGGACCCAAAGTCAGCAGTAATATAGGAGAAAGGACAACTCTTAAAATCAAAAACAAAAACAGACAAACAAGATACAGACTGGCACTTAGTAATGTTAAAGTGGAGAATACAGTTCATGGTCTGAAGTTGCTGATTTCAGTGTTGAGTCCAGAAGACTAAAGTGTCTAATCAAAAGATGAGGAACTGTTCCTCAAGCTTACGTTAGGCTTCACTAGAACACTGCACAGACTGAGAGCTAGACAATTAATTAAAATGACAAGTAACTGGGTTATGCTTCCAGACTGAGTGGAGGTGTTCTGCAAAGTGTGCACTTGGTTTCTTCCACGTAAAGGACTTTAAGCCATGAATACAGAAGACAAAATTGAAAAAAGTACAAGTAAAGCACTAGTTCATTTGGATGAAATACCTTTGGTTTTGGAAAATTAGAGAAAATAAAAAGGCAGGTACTACACTTCCTGTGATTGTCTGGGTGAATACCACAGGAAGTAGACAACATGTTGAGAGTGGTGGACAAGTAGAGGTAACAGTCCCTTTTGAATAATGCGAGGTGAGGGGAAGGGGGGATATATTTAGTAGGTGCCATCACGATAGAGGAAGGAGGGAAGACATTTTGGAAGCACTGTTGTGAATGGTAGCATCATCAGAACTATGTGACTGAGCAGCTTGGAAAATGGAAAAGACTACTTAAAAGAAATGGCAAGAGGAAGTATATTGTTGTCTGAATTTGGTGGGCCTATAACGAAAATCATTAGATGGTCTATCCTCAGAAATTGAGACAAAGAAATTGAGAAAATGAAGGGACCATGTGATGCTGAGAGGAGAATGGGAATTAGAAGAAAAATTAAAGAATTTTATGTTGAAGTTTATTGAATGTAGATGAACTGTTTTAGTTGCAGTGTTCTGGTAAATTTGTGCTGTACCCCCTCCAAGTTCAGTATATCCTCCTGAGATGCAGCACGTTTGAAGTGAAAGCAGCCTGACCAAAGAAGTATACAGGTAAAGTTCAACTTCCTCATCTTTCTAATCTAAACTGCGTATGATAACTAACTAGTTCCTGCCTAGTTCCTTCACAGATCCTTGTTTCACCATTTGCAAAACATCCTGATATTCTCTTTCTTAAATCTAAAATGGATGACAACACCCTTACTTATATTCTCCTTTTGTCAGTTTTGCCAACTCAATTAATCAGTTCCTTTTAGTAACATACATACTCCACAACAGATACCTTGTAACCTCTGAGCAGAGGGTGGTACATACTCTGTCTTTGTTACTCTGTCTCTTATCTCCTAGCCATGTTCTAACCTATGCAATAAATTTGCCTAAAATTTTGTGATTTTCACTTTTGACAACGATCTCATTTGGAACCTTATTAAATGCTTTCTGGAAGTGCATAATATCAGAATCATAAAAAATATATCAGAATATTTCAGATTCTCTTATTCACTGTGTTAGTGACTTCTTAACAAAAAATCAGCTAAATTAGTTGAATATTCCCTAGCCTACAGAAATGTGCGCAAACTTGAGCTGATCAAATTTGTGCAAGTACTCAGTTTTAAATAACTTCCCAGAATCTTTGTCAGACTGGTAAGCTAATATGTGCAGTTGTTTAAATTTCCCCTAAATTTAAACAGCAGCAAATTGAATTGAGCAAAAGAAAATTTTGCTCCAAATTTTAAGATCCCTTTTCAAGGTGTCTCACTAAGGTTTTGAATATTGCTGTTACGAGACAAGAATATTCAAAATAGTTAAAGTATTTGCACTGTTGACTGCTTGACCAAGGCAGTATGTATCATTCAGAAGATTACACAGGGAATTGAGCCAAAACCATGAATTGTGTTTTATGTCATAGCTACAACTTTTTTTTCTCTTTTACAGAGCAGTCGGCCTATGCAGGAAAGGAATGTTTTCAGCGAATTGATCGAAGACTCCGTGTTACTTTAAGACGGCGTCAAATTCCCATGGTTAGTACTGCAGAGATTTTGTGTAATAAGATGAGAGTTTCTATGTAGCTGTACAAATAGACTAAAACAGTAATTACTATATAAAAACAGAAAGAACTGCGGATGCTGTAAATCTGGAACAAAAATAGAAGTTGCTGGAAAAGCTCAGCAGGTCTGGCAGCATTTGTGAAGAGAAATCAGAGTTAATGTTTCAGGTCCAGTGACCCTTCCTCAGAACTGGGGAAGGGTCACCAGACCCAAAACGTTAACTCTGATTTCTGTTCACAGATGCTACCAGACCTGCTGAACTTTTCCAGTAATTACTATATGTAGCTTATGCGCACAAGACTAGTTTCGTAGAGTCATAGAGTAACACAGCATGGAAACAGGCCCTTCGGCCCAAACTGGTCTATGCTGACCATGGTGTCCACTTAGCTAGTTCTAATTGCCCGCATTTGGTCCATATTCCTCTAAATCCTTCTCATCCATGTACCTATCCAAATGATTTTTTAAATGTTGCTTTGGTACCTCCCTCAACCACTTTCTCCAGCAGCCCATTCCATATATGCACCACTTTCTGCATGAAGAGGTTGCCCCTCAGGTCTTTCTTAAATCTATCTAAATCTATCTCCTCTCACCTTAAACCTATGCTCTTTAGTTTTCAAGGTCATCTGCCCCAACAGTATCCAAAGCGGTATACCTGATATTGAGGGGAATGACTACAAGGGAACCCTGCACTATCTGCCTTCCCCCTTTACCTCTTCTGGTGGTCACTCAGCTACCTGCAGCCTGCATCTTAGGAGTGACCACTTCACTGTAGTTCTTATCAATGATATTCTGTGCACCCTGGATGATCCTGAGTGCATCCAGCTGCAGCTCCAGTTCCCAAACGCGGTCTGGCAGGAGCTGTAGTTGAGTGCACTTCTCTCAGGTGTAGCTATCTGGGAAACTGAAAGTCTCCCTGATCTCCCACATCCTGTAAGAGGAGCATGCCACTGTCCTAGCTGCCATCCCTACCGCCTTCAGTCTAGACAGCAAGAAGATAGAGTTACAGAGCCCTTACCTGCTATTACCTTTATCCCTGCTCAGCCTCCTCACACTGAAACCTCTCAAGCAAAGGCCTCAGCACTTCCAATCTAACACTGGCCCACTCTCTTAATGGCTACTCCCTTGTACACCTTAGCCTTGCCAGTCATCCTGCTCACAGAGGCCTTTTTCTTTTGGTCAGATGAAAAAGCAGGGTGGGAAACACCAGTTTAGTTAGCCATACCATGACACCAGGCTCTGCTTGACCTGCTGTACACTCGTGATGACTGTGGCGATATCCCCCAGAAGCCCACTGTGATGATTCTCAGCCGCCCTTTGATTCAATGCCCTTCTTCACCATCTCACGGAAGGTGTCCTGCAGATGCCTCCTGTACAGTCATGATGACTGCGATTATGTTTCCCAGAATTCCACTGTGATGACTCTCAGCCACACTCTGATTTGCTTACATCTTCTACAGGGGCAGCACAGTGGCTCAGCGCTTAGAAGTGCTGCCTCACAGCACCATAGATGTGGGTTCGATTCCCGCGTTGGGTGACTGCCTGTGTGGAGTTTGCATGTTCTGTCCATGTCAGTTGGGGTTTCCTCCCACAGTCCAAAGATGTGCTGGTTAGGTGGATTGGCCATGCTTCATTCCCATGGTTTCCAGGAATGTGCAGGCTAGGTGGGTTAGCCAGGGGGAATGCAGGGTTGCAGGGAATTGGATTGGGTCTGAGTGGGATGCTCTTTGGAGAGTCAGTGTGAATTCAAAGGGCCAAATGGCCTGCTTTCACATTGTAGGGATTCTATAATTCCTCCTTCTTGAAAACAAATGATGTTTTGGCCTCGAGATAACACGGTGTGGAGCTGGATGAACACAGCAGGCCAAGCAGCATCAGAGGAGCAGGAAGGCTGACGTTTCGGGCCTAGACCCTTCTTCAGAAATGGCCTCAACCACTTTCTGTAGTAGCAAATTCCGCAGCTCACCACTCTCTGAGTGAAAGAATTTCTCTTTATCACAATTCTAACAGGATTACCCCTTATAAGGATGGCTGGCCAGGCAAGTTGAAACGGTTAGGAAGGTTATACAATCCGTGGGTTCATAAATAGAGGCACAGATTATAAAAGCAAGGAAGTCATGTTATGTTTCTACAAAGAATTGGTCAGACCACATTTGGTGTATTATATTCAGTCTGGGTACCCCATTCAGGACAAGACGCTAAAACCTTGGAGAGATTGCAAAGAAGATCCACCGGAAGGATACCAGGAATGAGGGACTTTACATACAAGGAAAGATAGGCCCATTATCCTTTGAGCAAAGGTGAAACAAAACAGAAATTGCTGGAAATCCTCAGCAGGTCTGGCAGCATCTGTGGAGAGAAATCAGAGCGAACGTTCAGGTCGAGTGACCCTTCCTCAGAACAGGTTAAAAGGTGACCTTTGTTGCAGGTTAAAATTACAAGGTGACCTGATTGAGATGCTCAAAATTATGAACAATTATGACAGGATAAAGAAGGATATTCTGTTTCCACTAGTTGGTATGTCAGTCCGAGACCATCAACAGCAGAACCAGAAATGAGATGAGAAACTTCTCTACCCAGAGAGATGCCAGGACCCACTATGCGCTGCCCGGGAGAGCGGCAGGGCAAACCCTAACAGGAGGTCTCCAAAAGAGAGCTGGATATACATGAAAAAGTGATGAATCCAGAAGGCCACAGAGATGGTGCTGGAGAATGGGACCAGCCGGGTTACGTCTCCTGGGAGCCTGCACAGACATCATGGGCTGAATAGCCTCTTTCTGTTCTGTAAAATTCTAGGATATTATGGTTCTGGATTCCCCTGCTCTGTTTTGTCTGCTAACTAATTTTCTGTCTACCTCAATAAACTACTCCCAATTCTATGGACTTTAATTATACACATTAACCTCTTATGTGGGACTTTGTCAAAAGTTTTCTGAAAGTCCAAATTAACCACATCCCCTGACCAACACTACTAGTTACATCCTCAAAGAATTTGAGTACTGATCTTATGGCCTGAAGGGCCTGTTCCTGTGTTGTGTTGTTATGCTAGACACCATTGATAAAACAATTGAAGATGGTTGGTTCTAGAACACTGGTCTGGGAAATTCTTGCAGTGATGATCTGGAGCTGAGATAATTGACATTTACAAACCACAACTACCTGCCTTTTATGGTCATTATGACTCCAAACAGCAGAAATCTTTTTTATCTCCCTTTTCTCATTAACTTCAGTTTTGGTAGGGCTTCTTGATGCCAAACGTATATTTCAACCAAGTCACCTCTGACTCTTCTAAACTCCACTGGAAACAAGATACAAGATACTCTCCAGCTTTCCTCACAAGACAGCCACCCATTTCCAGGTATTAGTCTAGTAAACTATCTCTGAATTGGTTCCAACAGATTTGCATTCTTTCTTAAGTAAAACCATACTATGGTCTCATCAGTATCCCATATAACCTCCCGACTTTTGTGATTAATTCCCCTTGAAATAAACTTTAACTGATTACTTGCTGTGTCTGCACACTAATGTTTTGTGATTCATGTGCAATACCACGACGATTACCCTGCATCCCAGAGCTCTGCAACATCTCACCATTTAGATAATTTGCTTCATTTTTATTCTTCCTGCCAAAATTGACAATTTCACATTTTACTATCATATTCCCTCTGCCTCTTCACAACTAATTTTTGCACCTATCTTTGTGTCTTCAGCAAAAAAGCGACCCTACTTTCGATCCCTTCATCCAAGTCATTTCTATAAATTGTGAAACGTTGAGGTCCCATCATTGCTTCCTCACATTCACCACTTGCTACATTTTAACAACTAGATGTTAACATGTAAGCATGGTCTCTTTCCTGTTAGCTGGACTATCTTTAATCCATACCAATATGTTGTTCCTTACAACATGAGCCTTTATTTTCTGCAATAACATTTGATCTGGCATTTTGTGAAATATTTTCTGGAAATCTAACTACAATACATCCCTTCATCCACAGCACATGCTACTTCTTCAAGGAACTGCAATAAATTAGTTAAACATGATTTCCCTTTCAGAAACCATGTTGACTCTGTCTGATTACTTTGAACTTTTCAAAATATAGCTATAGCTTCCAGAGATACATGGCAGGCGCTGCCCTGCTTTCTGCCTCCCTCCTAATTTGGATAAGTTATGTTTGCTATTTTTCATTATATGGAGAATTTCCCGAATATGGAGAATCTTGGCAAATTAAAATTAAAGCATCAGCTGTCTCATTAGCCATTTTTAAGGCACTAGGGTAGTAACCACAGTTTAATGGCAATGGTGAGTAAGGTTTTTAGAAACAAAAACCAGTGGAATAAAGTCAACAGGCAGATGGAGAGTTTTAATTATTTATGGAGAGATAGCCCAGATTTTAAGATGTGGTCTATATGAATTTCACAAAGTACCACATTAAAGACTCTAACAAAATTGAGGCTGATGGAATAATCTCCAAGATGGCGGCAGACTAGGATTCCAAAACCGGAACTCATCCGCTCTGTCCACTTTTCTTTTTTCCTTTCGTTTTGCGTTTTTTTTTCTTTTTCTTTTTGCATCCTGTCTGCAAGTGGCATCGGCATCGGTGATATCTGGGATCAAAGCCAGCGCAGACTCCCAGCCTCAGCCTGGGCTCAACTCTTGACCGCAGCATGGTCTTGAATTCATGGCTCCAGCATGGTACTTGAACTCCCGACCTCAGCATGGACTTGAATTCCTGGCTTCAGTGTGGACTTGACTCCCAGCACTCCTAGCCTCGAGGTGAAGTCCAGTGTGGTCTTGGTTGGAAGGACTGTTATTCTGAACTCTTATGTCTGTATTTTTCTAATTTATTTCTGGACTTTTTATTATTTTTCTCCTTTTGTTAAGAATTTGTACTTAAGAATCTGTACTTAGGCATTTTGGTACCTAAGTTGGTGCTGTAAATGATGACTTGCAAACTCTTCACTGTACTCATGTGAGTACGTGTGACGATAAAGCTAATTGTTATAGTAGGGTCAGTATCAGATTGGAAGAAAAAATGGATTAAATGCAGAAATAAGGACTAATGGTTAATAGCTATTATACAGCCTGCTGGATGGTACACAGTGGTATTTCCCTATGGTCAGTGCTAAGCACCACTGCTTTTTTGTTACATCCTGTATCTGAATGATGTGGCTTTTGGAATATAGAGTAAAATGTCAACATTTTTCATTGATACCAAACTTGGAGGTGTGGAAGCACAGAGTATTGCTTGCAACAGAACATAGATACGTTTACGGACTGAACAGACAAATGACAGATGAAATTTAACACAGAAAATTGTGAGGTCTTCCTTTTTGGCCAAAAGTATAAGGAGGGCCATGTAAACTTCGGACAGAATCTTATCAGGGTCTGAGCAATGTAGCCTGTGGTGAGATATGTGCCAGAATCAAACAAGTGAAACGAGGCCCTTCTCCACTTTAAGATCATCTCACTGCACGTTTTATGCTTTCCAGAGGCAGTGTGACGACATCCTAGCTAGGCAGCGGTGAGATGCCAATCGACAGACATGACTGCTTGCTAAATGCCTTTTTAACGCCAAAACTTGCCTTATTAATATTCAGACTTCCTTCTTATCAAACTCACCTGACAAATTAGATGTCAGTAAGAGTTGAGAAGGAAACCAAAGACAGCCACTGTGGATTCAGTTTGACACTTGCTCCAAATGAACTCCATATTGGAAATTGGGTACCAACAGCTCAGGTCATACTGTATGGGTAGCAGCCGCACGCACTCCACATCCATGGACGTTAGCGTCCGACATAAGCCAGCCACTAGAATCATAGAATTACAGAATCCTGACAGTGTAGAAGCAGGCCATTTGGCCCATTGAGTCCACACTGACTTCCTGAAGAACTGCCAGCCCAGACCCCCCCGTCTACCCTCCATTTCCCATGGCTAATCCACCTGGCCTGCACATCCCTGGACACTATGGACAATTTAGCATGGCTAGTCCACCTAACCTGCACATCTTTGGACTGTGGAAGGAAACCAGAGCACTCAGAGGAAACCCATGCAGACACAGGGAGATTGTGAAAACTCCAAACAGACATTGTCTGAGGGTGGAATCAAACCCAGGTCCCTGGCACTGTCAGGCAGCAGTGCTAACCACTGAGCCACCATGCCACCCATATCATATCTCCAATTCACTTACACATCTATTCTGCACTTCAGTGCTGCAGCTTGGGCTGCACTGGCAACTACCATTGTGCTGCACCCAGGATGTGGAGTCATAAGGTCATACAGCATAGAAACAGACCCTTCGGTCCCACCAGTCCTTGTCGAACATAATCCCAAACTAAACTAATCCCACTTGCCTACTCCTGGCCCACATCCCTTTCCCACTCAAATATCCATCAAATGTTTTTTATATATTGTAATTGTAACCGCAACCAACACTTCATCAGGAAGTCCATTTCACGGGCAAAGCATCCTCTGTGCAAAAAATCTGCGTCATGTCTTCTTTAAATCTTTCTCCTCTCACCCTAAAAATGTGCCCCCTAGTCTTGAAATTCCCCATCTTAGGGAAAAGACAACTACCATCAACTCTATCTATACCTCTCATCATTTTATAAACCTCTGTCAGGTCACCTTTTGACCTCCAACGCTCCAGTGAAAGAAGTCCCAGCCTATCCAGCCTTTCCCCATATCTCAAATCTTCCATGCCTGGCAACATCCTGGTGAATCTCTGAACCCTTGGCTTGGAAAACTAGTATTTTATTTCGGGATCACATATTGTGATTCTAGCTGATTTTCTCTGAAAAGACTAAATCAATAGCCTTGAGGGTCTAATTTTCAAAAATGCCTGTTAACACTTGAGTAATGGGTAACATTATGTGCTATAGTTATGCATAGAACACACAATAATGTTCCTTGATTCCACACAGCTCTCTGTCCATGGTGGAATATTCAGTCTCTGAATAATATTTTGACAGTTATAGTATGTGTCACATTTGTTCCCACACTGATAGGATGGAAATTCTTTGAGCTGGATATATAGTTTGGTCTTTTTCAGTCCTGATTTTGGAGATGTGAAACAACAGAATAGATCTCTCCTTAATGATGTGAATAGTGTATAAACTGATGAGCTTCATAAATTGATTAGGAAGTATTCTTTCCAAAGATGGTCTATATAGTGGTGCTGATGTGACTCATGTTACGGTATTAATTATCAATGGTAGAAGATGTAGCTTAACACCGACAATATATTCATAAAATTGCCAATGAATATTCTCTTGTGTAATTCACAAACGTAAACTAAAAGTGAACTGAGTATGAGTAGTTGCTTCTCACCCACTACTCTTAGATTATTAAATCTATGTCACTAAATCAATTTAGTTTGGTAATAAATCTATGACTCTGGCAAACTACAGATAGAGAAATTTACACCTGTGCATAGTTATTCTGTAAACTATGATGTTGCACTGCCAATATCAGCTGCGTAAAAACAGGAAATAGTTTATTAGAAGCAGTCAATGGGGGGGAAGGAAAACTCATATTTACACAGTACATCTCCCAACCTTGGCTCCTCAAATTGCTTGATACTTAATTAAAATGCAGAATCGCCATTGCAATGTGGATAATGTGGCAGTCATGTTTTGCATTTTTATCATAGGCCAATGAGATTATAACCAGATAGTTTTTTTTTAAACGATATTGGTTGAAGGACAGATAATGGCCAGGGCACATCCTATTTCCAATCCTGTGATGAGCATTGTTTTGGACATTCCTTCATTCAGGGTACCCTGGAGTTTCTAGAAGAGGAGCTGACTAGATTCTTTGCCATAAAACCACAGTCTGTGTACAAAGCAATGCTGGAAAACAGGTAACATGATTTCTTGAAAGCAATATGTTAAATCTTAAATGAAAAAAAACTTTGCTGCATCCCAAATGCTGAAATATTCACTACTGGCAAGGGTGGGTTGTTGGTTGTTGGGTGGGTGGAGGGAATCAATATGGCTTGAACTGTTGTAAAAAATAATAAAATATTGTATTTTTGCTACCTTATTTTATTTGTTAATGTTTCAATGTCATATTAGAACCACAGCAATAACAAAATTTCATCTGGACAGTAGGTAACCAGGAAAGACCAGTAGTGGCTGAGAATTCAGCTGTGATTTTGTTTGGCAAGAATACTTTGTAGTGTTGGATAAATGTGATTTTTTTGTTTTGATTTTGTACCTATGGATCACTTACCATGCACTTGTACTTCTGTTTCAGCTATGAGAGATTATTGCTTCATGCCCTTTGTCAGTATTTGGACCTTGTCTCTCAAAGTAAGTTTTACATCAGCACTTTGTTAATTTAGCTTTGTACTTGGCATATAATTGAACCTGCTATACCACTTTATTTGTGCAATCTTTTACAGGTTCTGACTGCGATGGAAAACGGCAGACAGAAGTAAGCAACAAAGGTACAGATTTTCTGCCTCCTGTACCTCTGCTTTCTGCCTACCTGGAACAGAAGAGATGATTGTGAAATTATCCCCATCTTATTTTAGTTGGATCTGTAAATATTGTTAAGTGTCTAATCTGCAGCCGAAATACCTTTGTGTAAAATCCTCCTTGCTGCATAGTCACACATAAGGAACTAAAAGCAAGGGCCATGATTTATTGATATAAAATTGTTGGTTTGTTTATCCGCTTAAAACCACAAATACGTTTTTTTGAACATAATGTTCACTTTTGAAGATTCATCAAAAAATATGGTGCATCACTCTTATTTTTCTAACGCTTTCTGGTATATTCAATATTGATGGGAAAGTAAATGTCTTCTGCAGACTGCTTTATGTGACATTGAATGCTGTGGCTTATTTATGAACAATTCTAGTCTGTTTTTCACTACCCAGCCTGTGGGAGCCACCTGGTACTTGGTGGGGTGGGGGGGGGGGTCCACGGATGGAAGAAGCTGAATAATTCCAGAGATATGTCAATTTCAGATTTTTCTCATTTGCCAATTCTTCATCTAAGAGTCTGCAATGAGTAAGTGTTGGTGTGATCAAGCCCCTTACCAAGAGTTCCCCTATGAGTCTATAAGCCTAAACTCGAGCCCTCCTGGGGTGTATAGCGAAGGAACCACACATACATGAAGAGTACTTTATCTCTAATATGGTGGGTTGCTGGAAAATATTTTAACACATTGTAAAGAATGTTTAGTTATGTATCTGTAGGTAACATTAGGTATTGCAGAAAGTAATAACATTTTCTGCATGTGATTTGTATTAGTTTTACTTCAAGAATTAATAGGCAAGAGTCAATACGGATTTTGGTGTGTATATCATTAATAAGGAAGAAAAATGCAATCTTGGATTTAGACCGAAATATATGAGTGTAGTGAGGTGTTACTTACCTGGTAGATTTACACATGGTGTGAATTTAGTCACCAGGATTGACATTTTTTTAAAATAACTTCTTGTTTCATTGAGTATGTGTTTAGTAAACAAATTTTGTCAAAATGATATTCAGCTGATGCACTCAGACCTTAGGTAATTTTCTTTAACATATCTACAGAATTTTATTATTTTCTCAGCATTGTTCTGTCTGCTCAATATAATATTTTCAATTGCAGTGCAGTTGATACCTACTTAAGCTGCTGTGAGTGAATGCTCCCTCATCAGCTTGGTGTGTAAATATGTTATTTGATTTGAGTTAAATAGACCTGAATAGTCCGAGCTTCAGTTTCCTAATTAGTATAGATTTGATAATTGGTAGCTGGGACAGTAGCCAGCAGTTTAAGATTAATGATTTAAATTAGGATGTGACCAAACATCCCACAATGTGCAACAAGATGACTGGACTGATTTCTTTCAGTGGTCAGGTTGTCTTTTCTTTCAAGAGGCTAGCTTGTATGGCCTGCTTACTATTTGCATTATTTTCTAAAAACACCAACAAGGGGTTTTGTCTTTGAAAGACATTCGTGCTGACTGACTCCCAAAAAATAGCCCACATTTGTCCTACAAAATATTGTTCTGTAGTTTGGTTATTTTCATAATTGTTACAATCTGCCATTCCTTTTTAATAAAATTATCACTTTCCATTTGGTTACTAAATGTCACTTTTGCAGTTTTGATTACAAATTACTGTCTTTTTCTGCTAAAATCACCCCCATTTTCAGTTGTAATGCAGAAATAGTGGGAAAAAAAATCAGTTGAGGTTATTATCCGGTATTTACTTTCTTGTGAATCCAATAGACCAATATATTAATAAATTCCAAAAGGCAGACTTTCTCATAAAAAACTTTAAGTACACTGATTAGCTTTGTCTTAAAGGTTTCTGTATAGTATGTAGAAATTGTTAGCAAACAGAAACTTCAGCCTGTTACATCATTCATGTTATCAGTGGAGTATAGGGGAGAGTTAAAGATGAATTCAATTCAAAATCCTTGTCTTTAATATTATTCATTGTCTCAAGCCACATAACAGTATAAAGATAATGATGTTTTATTTTTTCTGTTCCCTTCTTTGCACCCAAGTGGTTTCTAATCCCATTTCTTAAATGTAAAATTTAAAGAATTTGACAATTTTGCTGAATTTATCTTTATTTTCTTTTTATACAAATTATTGATATACCATAAAAATATATTTGTAGAATTTGGCTGAAAATGCTAACATATACAGCAAGTTAGTAAATTTGTTGCACATCCAAGATCATGAGATTACAGAAAGTCCCCATGTTGGGAAGGAGTTCCATTCTTGATTTCATTTGCAAGTTGGAGCGCAATGCAGGACAATATAAAATAGCCATTTGTAAGAACAGGTAATATTAATATTTGCATATACTAGATCTTTAAAATTAGACGGTATGAGATCACGTTCATATGTAGAAGCGTTTGTAAGTTGGGGACATCTGTATTTTTCAGTGTTCCAATTGTTGCATTAACACAAACCCCTGTCTGTTAACAAATGCATAATTGTTTAATTATGGGAACATGTTAAGCAATACATTAATAATAATACATTAATTAAAAATATCTACAAATTACTAATTTGCCAAAGTGCTTTTAAATCTCAATTTATTTGCTGACTTAGGCACTTCTGTAAATGAACAGAAATAAAAAGCCCAAAGTACACAATTGCCTGTGAATTCAGGCAAACTATTACTTACTAGAATGTGTATTTTAGAGTTACCCTTGACCAATTAATCCCCTTCCACCATCTGTAAAAATATTAAGCACTATTCAGTTTTATACACACCACCACCAAAGACTGCACATGATCAAGCAAGGCATCAGCAATGATCATTCTTTATACAAAAAGATGGGATAGCAAAAAAAAAATTGAACTTGTAACTTTTCTCCTCCAAGTGTTCAAATTGAACACCCACAAAAATACAAGATTCCAATCAAACGCTTCATGTACACAAAATAGTAAAGGAGGATGATTATATTCTTGTTTTCTAAAGGGCTAATTTTTGATGCAAACATAGATGAAAATTTGCAACTGAGTTATGGATATCACTATTATAGGTTTAAAGTTCCCTTTGGTAAACTCAGACATGTACTGTTTTACTGTAAGAATTCATATACATTATATTTAAAGGAGTTTGAGAAAAGTACAAAGCTCAACAGTTGAGTCACACCACCTTAATTTTATATACATGATAAATACTTATTTTATGATTAATTACATAGTAAAGCTTTCACCACATCCACATGTTCCCTTAATATTTGGGTTATTGAAAATAAATTCACTGGAGAGTTTTGTTTCAATATAATCCATTTCTGTTCCTAGCAGGGTTAACTGTGCTTTCTGGTCAATGAACACACGCACACCTGAAAAGGAAATAAAGCAATGAATGGACTGAATAACAGTGTGGGATAAAGCGGTTTTAAAAATATTTATTAATTAAATTGTCAGAAGCTTACAGTGGACTGTCTGTCATCTTGAATGCCTCAGTTGAACCTGCATCCATCAAATTTCCAGGCACTGCATTCTTGATAAACTACTCTGTGTGAAAAAGCTTTTTCTAAAGCACCCATGCTTTGTTTACACATCACTTTAAATTAATGTTCTCAGTGCAGGCAATGTTGGTGAGACCGGCTCAAGAATCACGGCAGCAATGGAGATCTGGACATTTCCTTTTCTTTGTTTCTTTAATTTTGACTCTTGTTTTTAATTTTAACTGTTGAATTCTAAGATGGCGCTGGACAGCACTGTACTCCTATACTCAGGTACACATGACAATATAATCTAAACTAATCTAATCTAATCACAGTAAGTATATGCCTGAATCAAGAAGTGTAAGCCATGGTTCATCTCTCATTGTACTCATTGACCTATAGTGTCCCTAATCAAGTAACATTGATCTTAAGTGCTCATACTTACTATGTAATCCTTTCATGGCCTTGATTTTCCCCAATCCATAACCTTTGGTGCTCATCTAATGTTGGCCTGTTGACAATTCCTGGTTTTAATGGCTCTACTTGTGAGGTTCTGCCTCCAGTTAAGTAGACTCTTTAAGTCCTGCATTTCCTCTCAAACTCTTTCTGCATTTCTACTTCTCTTTCTTCTTTAAGACTCTTCTTAAAAGCTCTCTCTTTGACCAAACTTTTGGCCATTTGCTCTAATATCACCTTATATGGATCAATGTTAAATGCTACTTTATAACTCTTAAACAAAGTGGCTTTTATTACTTTAAATACAAATTACTACCTAATCAAATGGTTGTGGATCTGTCTCGCACGAGAAACATGAACAAAACTCCAACCTAGCGTGCCAGTACACTATTGAAAGACTGCAGTGCTGTCAGTGGTGTCATCATTTGAATGAGACATCAAACCAAAGCCAAGGCAGATATAAAATATTCCATGGCATTATTGTGAAGAGCTAGAAAGTTATTGCCAGTATTCTGGTCGATGGTTATGCCTCAATAAATATCACAAAACACAAGATTATTTGGTCATTATCATGTTGCTGTTCGTGGAGGGTTGCTGTGGACCAACTGGTTGCTATGACTACAACACTGATTACACAAAGTGCTTTAAATGGCTATAAAGTGCATTAGGACAACTTGAATAGCACTATGCTAATTCAAGGCTTTTTGTTTATCTTCCTTAGAAAATCAAAGTTCCATATTCCTTGTAAACACCAGGTTTCCTACATGTCAAACACACACCATCATGCTGCTTGGTTCATCCAGCTCTACACCTTGTTATCTCAGATTCTCCAGCATCGGCAGTTCCTACTATCTCTCACCGTCAATCAGTTCTCTTTCACTTTCTGAAGCAAATTCATTGTCATAAAGCAAGCCCAAGCAACAGACCACTTGCCACAAATTGTTAACCTGAAAATTATGAAAAGGTTTGGCTCTAAAGCTAACATACATAAAAGAAAGGAAAAATAAATTCCCAGCAAACTAAGAATGCTTAGTTTAGATTGATTTTTTTTAAAAGTGGGGTAGACTTGACAAGATTTCCTCACGAATTAAGAGACTGCTAACATTCCATACCATCCTGAGTAACTTCTTCATCAAATTTCCCTTTCTCTGTTGCATACTCTATTACATATGAGAGACCACTGCAGCCACGAGTGCGAACTCCAACTTTCAAACCAACCTGAAGAATAAAAGGGAAAACTCCGTAAACAATAAACTGCATTAAAGCAGGATCAGTGCAATTTTAATAAATACACCTGCAGAATAACTCCTGAAATGAAACTAGGGCACTCCCATAACTGTACATATAAATCAATAGTAAATAAATGTCCTTAGAAACCCCAATAATATAATCCATCTTTTCTCTAGGATCATAGGAAAAATATAAATATGTTTAAATTATATAAATTATTAAGAGTATGCTTGTCCTCTAGAAAATGAGAATGTGGAATTAATGGTAAGTAATAAGAAAATGGCAGAATTTTGTTTTTGCTCAACTCTTCACTATGGAAGATACAATAACCATTCCAGTAATAGCTTTAAATTAGTAGGTGAAATGAGGAGAGGAACTTGGTAAAATTTCAATCACGAGGGAAGCGGTACCATGCAATTTTTTTTTTATTATCCAGGGATCATGGGCCAGCATTCGTTACCCATCCCTGGTTGCCCTTGAGAAAACAGTGATGAGCTGCCTTCTTGAAATGTTGCAGGCCATTTGGTGTAGTTACACGCAGAATTCCAGTAGGGATAATGTTTCAGGTATTAAGCCAGCAACTGATGGAGCTGCAGGCTGATAAGCCTCTGGGTACTGACCGACTGCACTCTAGAGTTGGTGAGAAGGTGGCTAATGGGGCAGAGAATGTGTTTGTGTTAATTTCCCAGAATCTTGCAGGCTATGCAGTCCATTGAGCCTGCTTCACCACTGAATATGATCATGGCTGATCGACACTTCAATGCCTTTTAATCATACTATCCCCATAACCATTCACTCCGTTTATAATAAAAAATGTATCAACGTCCACATTAAATATACTCAAAAGACTGAGCTTCCATGGTCCTCAGGGTTAGAGAATTCCAAAGATTCACCACCCCTATGTCTCCTTATCTCAGTCCTAAATTGAATTCCTTTTAGTTTTAAATTGTGCCTGCTGGCTCTTCTGTGGAAAGTGTTACAATCAAACATTAGAGAGGTATAACTGGCACTTAGAAAAACTCAAGGTAATCAGGAGGAGTCAGCGTGGTTTTGTAAAAGGGAAATTGTTTAACCAATTTACTGGAGTTCTGTGCTGTGGATAGGGGAATCTGTTCATGTGGAGTATTTGGATATCCAGAAGGCAGTTGACACAGTGCAGCAAGAAAGGTTATTGCACAAAGCAGAAACACATTGCAAAGGAAGAACAAGGAATAGGAGAAAGATATCAGAATTGGAGGAGTCCTGCACACACCCTGCACCACTAAAGCCCAACATGTGCAGTGATGCATTTGTATGTGACATCACACACGAAGCATGTGTGATGATGTCAGTGCTTGGAAGCATGCATTTCCAAATGACACATGAATGCATAATGACCACAGCTGTCAGTAAACACTGCCTTAATTCTATTGCCGAACCAAAATCTATTCACCCCGTCTATTATTCAATGACCATATGTCCTCCACATTCTGAGGCAGTATTCCAAAAGTGCACAATCTTCAGAGATGGAAAAAGAACTCTCAGCTACATAAACTGTTAATCTTAAACAAGTCCAATTTCACATACACATTCTGGTCTCTGTAGCAGAAGAGTCTTAATTCTGTTGACAGCAGATGAAGTCTGAAAATGAAAAGCATAAATACAAAATTAAAAATGTAAGTTGTTACAGATAGGAGAAAGGAGGTTTGCGGCGGTCAGATTAGTTGACTGTGGCAATATCACTGAAGTAGATGCTATAGTTCAGAAGAGAGTTTAAACCAATATTCCCTTTCTGTCCCAGAGGATTGTTAATGATCCCACAATATTACCCCTCTCTCAACTAACATCAACCTCAACTTAATTGGTCATTTATTTTCTGTTTGGGTGATAACTCCAGAAAATTGACTACTGTAGCTTTGTAACAACTACAATCACAGCAACAATGACCATATTGCAAAAATGATCCTTTGCATGAACTTTTCCTATTCGTGTACCTGTCCAATGTCTTTTAAATGTTGTAACTGTCCCTGCCTCTACCACTTCCTCTGGCAGTTCATTTCCAGTTATGCACCACAGTGTGTGAGAAACAGTTGCCCCTCAGGTCCTTTTGAATCTTTTCCCTCTCACCTTAAAGCTATGTCCTCTAGTTTTGAATGCCCCTATCCCAGAGAAAAGCTATTCACCTTATCTATGCCTCACTATTTTATAAACCTCTATAAAGAGGACCCTTAACCTCCTATGCTCCGGGGGAAAAAAAAGTCTCAGCCTATTCAGCCTCTCCTTATAACTCAAACCCTCTAGTACCTTGTAAATCTTTTCTGCACCCTTTTCAATTTAATAACATCCTTCCTATACCAGGGCGACAAACTGTACGCAGTGCTCCAAAAGTGGCCTCACCAATGTCTTGTAAAGCCCTAACATGATGTCCAAGCTCCTATTATACTCAACACTCTGACCAATGAAGGCAAGCATGCCAAACACCTTTTTCACCATCCTGTCTACCGGTGATGCCACTTTCAAAGAACTATGTACCTAAACCCCTAGGTTTGTCTGTTCAACAACATTCCCCAGGGACCTACCATTAACTGTGTAAGTCCTGCCCTAGTTTGTCTTACCAAAATGCAACACCTTGCATTTATCTACATTAAACTTCATCTCCTTCTCCTTGGCCCATTGGCCCAGCTGATCAAGATCCCATTGTACTCTTAGATAATCTTCTTCACTGTCCACTATAGCACCAATTTTGGTGTCATCCGCAACCATACTTACTATATCCTCATCCAAATCATTTATATAAATGACAAACAATTGTGGACCCAGCACCGATCCTTGCGGAACATTGTTGGTCACAGGCCTCCAATCCGAGAAACAACCCTCGACTACCATCCTCTGTCTCCTACTGTCAAGCCAATCTTGTATCCAATTAGTTAGCTCTCCCTGGATCCCATGGATCTAACTTTACTAGCCAGTCTACCATGTGGAACCTTGTTAAAGCCCTTGCTAAACTTCATGCAGACAATGTCTACCACACTGCCCTCATCTATCCTCTTGGTCATGTCCTCAAAAAACTCAATCAAGTTTGAGAGAGACAATTTCAATGCACAAAGACTATCTGTAATCACATTTGGAGAGGCAAGGACTAGTGAGTCAGAAGTTTTATGATCATAAGGTATTATCAAAGAATTTCAACACTATCAACACCACCATCCCCCCACTCTGAACCAGTGTCATAGTGTCACAGCAATAGGCTGGCAATTCAGAAATAAGACATGGAGAAATTTCTTGACTCAGCTGTGAATATTTATAAGTATCCATCTCATAGCCTTGTGGATGCTCAATTAATGAGTATACTCAAGAAAGAGATTGATGGATTTTTTTTGTCACTGAGAACCCCAAATGAAATAGTGCAGGAAAACAGTGCTAATGTGATGTTCAGCCATGATTTTAATGAATGGCAGAACAGTTTTGATGAGCTGTAATGTATTAATTCCATTTCTTATGTTTTCATGTGGAGTCACTGTTGGGAAGTTGTCAAAATTGGAAACTGTTATAGATCAGCTACTTTTGGATATGTGATCTTGTCGTTTATGATTGTTACAACAGGGTCATGGTATACAGACAGGAGTACAGCAGAAAAATAAGGGAGATCCTGGATTCAAGTAGGACTCAAATGCAGTCTTGAATCCTTGACTACAGGTTGGAGCAGGGTCTAACAATTCCTGAGAAGGGAACATAAGTGAATGGGCTTCATCAAAATCATCTGAACCAAAGCAAAATCATTAAGATAAATGTAGATGCAATATTTTCTGATGTAAAATGCTTGAAATCCTCAGTTCAAAAACATTTCATAGGACCATCTTGATGTCATGTTCACATTACTGTCTTAGGTCATAGAGTCATAGCGTAATACAGCATGAAAACAGGCCCTTTGGCCCAAACTGGTCCATGCTGACCATGGTGCCCACTCAGCTAGTTCTAATTGCCTGCATTTGGTCCATATCCCTCTAAACCCATCTCATCCATGTACCTATCCAAATGTTGCTTAAATGTTGCAATTGTACCTGCCTCAACCACTTTCTCCAGCAGCTCATTCCATCTACGCACCACTCTCTGCATGAACATAGAACATAGAGCATTACAGCGCAGTACAGGCCCTTTGGCCCTCGATGTTGCGCCGACCTGTGAAACCAATCTGAAGCCCATCTAACCTAAACTATTCCATTATCATCCATATGTTTATCCAATGACCATTTAAATGCCCTTAAAGTTGGCGAGTCTACTACTGTTGCAGGCAGGGCATTCCACGCCCTTACTACTCTCTGAGTAAAGAACCTACCTCTGACATCTGTCCTGTATCCATCACCCCTCAATTTAAAGCTATGTCCCCTCATGCTAGCCATCACCATCCGAGGAAAAAGGCTCCCACTGTCCACCCTATCTAATCCTCTGATCATCTTGTATGTCTCTATTAAGTCACCTCTTAACCTTCTTCTCTCTAACGAAAACAGCCTCTCAAGTTCCTCAGCCTTTCCTCATAAGACCTTCCCTCCATACCAGGCAACATCCTGGTAAATCTCCTCTGCACCCTTTCCAATGCTTCCACATCCTTCCTATAATGCGGTGACCAGAACTGTACGCAATACTCCAAGTGCGGCCGCACCAGAGTTTTGTACAGCTGCAACATGACCTCACGGCTCCGAAACTCAATCCCTCTACCAATAAAACCTAACATACCGTACGCCTTCTTAACAATGCTATCAACCTGGGTGGCAACTTTCAGTGATCTATGCACATGGACACCGAGATCTCTGTGCTCATCCACACTACCAAGAATCTTACCATTAGCCCAGTACTCTGTATTCCTGTTACTCCTTCCAAAGTGAATCACCTCACACTTTTCCGCATTAAACTCCATTTGCCACCTCTCAGCCCAGCTCTGCAGCTTATCTATGTCCCTCTGTAACCTGCAACATCCTTCCGCACTATCCACAACTCCACCGACTTTGGTGTCATCCGCAAATTTACTAACCCATCTTTCTACGCCCTCATCCAGGTCATTTATAAAAATGACAAACAGCAGTGGCCCCAAAACAGATCCTTGAGGTACACCACTAGTAACTGAACTCCAGGATTAACATTTCCCATCAACCACCACCCTCTGTCTTCTTACAGCTAGCCAATTTCTGATCCAAACCGCTAAATCACCTTCAATCCCATGCCTCCGTATTTTCTGCAATAGCCTACCATGGGGAACTTTATCAACCGCTTTACTGAAATCGATATACACCACATCAACCGCTTTACCCTCATCCACCTGTTTGGTCACCTTCTCAAAGAACTCAATAAGGTTTGTGAGGCACGACCTACCCTTCACAAAACAAAAGAAGTTTCAAAACAAAAGGCCCCTCAGGTCCTTCTTAAATCTATCCCCTCTCACCTTAAACCTATGCCCTCTAGTTTTCAGTTTCTCATCCCTGGGAAAAAGACTATATGCATTTATCCGAACTATGCCACTCATGATTTTATACACCTCAAAAAGGTCACCCCTTATTCTCCTACATTCCAAGGAATAGAGTCTTATTCTGGCCAACCTCTCCCAATAACTCAGGCCGACTGGTCCTGGCAACATCCTCGCAAATCTTCTTTGCACACCTCCCAGCTTAACTATGTCTTTCCTATAAAAGGGTGACCAAAACTGTACACAATACTCCAAGCGCAGCCTCACCAACAACTTATACAACTGTAATATAACATCCCAACTCCTATACTCAATGCCTCGACCAATGAAGGCCACCATCCAAATGCCTTCTTCGCTACCCTGTCCACCTGTGACACTGCTTTCAACGACCTATGTACTTGTTTCACAACACTCCTCAGAACCTTACCACTTACTGTATAAGTCCTCCCTTGGTTTGACTTTCCAAAATATAACGCCTCACACTTATCTGTATTGAATTGTATTTGCCAATCCTCAGCCCACTTCCCTGGCTGATCAAGATCCCTCTGCAATTTTTGGTGACCTTCTTCAGTATCAATGATACCTTCTAATTTTGTATCATCTGTAAACTTAATAATCATGCCTTGTACATTCACATCCAGATCATTTACGTAAATAACAAATAACAAAGGTCCCAGCCCCAACCCCTGTGGCACACCACTAGTCACAGGCCTCCAGTCCGAGAAACAACTTCCAAACATCACCCTCCATTTCCTACCATCAAGCCAACTTTGAATTCAATTAGCTCACCTTCTCTGGATCCCATGCGACTGAACTTTCATGACTAGCCTGCCATGCGGGGCCTTGTCAAAGGCCTTACTAAAGTCCATATAGACAACATCCACTGCCCTACTCTCATCTATCCTCTTGGTTACCTCTTCAAAAAACTCTAAAAGATTTGTCAGACATGACTTCCTGCGCACAAGTCCATGCTGACTATCCCTATTCAGACCTGGAAAGAGATGCAGTGGATTTTGTTGAGGTTCGTCCCAAGCATCTCCATGATGCACGACTCTGTGATCTACGGGCTGTTTGCCTGGACAGAAACATCAACTGCACCTGGAAAAGCATCAACTTGGTGAAAGACGCTCTTTGGTCTGCCTGAAATTTGTTGGTCTTCCAATGCAAACAGGTGACCTCGAATGAACGTTGAGGACTGGCACATTCCAAAATCCAGGTCTACGTACTGAGGAATGCACCAAAGCTTGGTGCAGCAGAGAATGACTACTGTCTAAGGACTTTCTGTCAAAGTTTAATACGGGCCTGTTCAGTTATCAGGCCCTGTCATTGCCTCTATGTATGTGAATACCCTGCTGCATGTGTAGGAAACGTCTTTGCTTATTACAACTGCAGAGAATGTCAAATTCCAATGTTTGTTTTTCTTGATATGCAAAGACTGTACAGAACTGCTTTTGTACCTGTGAATGTAGATAAAGATTTTTTTAAAAAATGAATAAAGTATATTTTTGCAATTTAAAAAAGTACTGTTTTCTCACTCCACAGTCGTTGCCTGGTCTGCTGGACTTCTCCATTTCTGATTTCAGATAGTCAGCATCCACAGTACTTCAGATCTCTCAAATTGAATCTATCTCTACTGTATTCTCAGCGAGTCAATTCCAGATCCTAACCACTCACTGTATAATGGTTTCTCCTCATCTCGCTGTGGCTTTTCTTACCAGTCACTTTAAAAACGAAGTCCTCTGATTTTGTGTGGATCGCTTTGCCAATGGCAACAGTTTCATACCATGGAGCCTGTCCAGACTTCTCCACGATCTTGAAGAGCGCTCCTCGTAACCTCCTTCTCCAAGGTAAACAGCCCAACTTCTACAATCTATCCACATAACTACCAGGTATATTTGACCGCCCGAGACCAAAGTTTAGGTTCCGGGAACAATGTGAACTTTCAGAGATCAGCCTCGATTCCTGACCACAGCTTCCGTGCCTAGGAGTAAACCCCACTCCCACTCCCACTCCCACTCCCTCCTTACCAGCAGGAGGGCCGCTCTAGCCGGTACCCTCAGCCTCCGATCTCTCGCCGCTCGGACACTCGCCCTCACTGCCGCCGCCATCTTGTCCCCTGAGTCACCTTCAACAACGCGGCCTCTCACTGGATTGCTCCAGACAAATCACAGCGCGTCCTACTGTGTTATGCCAACGAAATGGCGGAGGAGGGCGTCCATAGCAACGGTTAGAGGGCTGCGGCTTCGCCTTCTATTCCTCCTCATCGTAAGCGAGACGGTTGTCTTTTTCTTCCTGCCAGATTTGTTTACGGGGGCTCCGTTGCTACTGACATGCTTTAAACCCATGCTTTACCTGCAGCTACTAGACGGTTTTTGATAGCACATCTGCACCATTAACTCGGAAAATTGTGGTTAGAAAGTAAAGAGAATGGAGGATAAAGATTGTTCCCGAGATAAGAGGCAAAGTTAGACTGAAAGAGTAATCAAAACCGCTTGGTAAATTTAGTTTCAGGGTGCGTCTAGACATTCTCAAAATGTAGATCAATAATTTTGTATCTGGCAATGTAATAATACGATTTCTATTACGTTTTCATCAATGGTGAGCAAATCTACGGAATTTATGATTTTCTCATCCCTGCATCAATCCATCTCCTCCCTCCTCTCACCTAGCCATACTTTTTAATCTTTACAACACATAAAAATTGATTTTGAATTTTTTCAAGTTTATTAAAACTTTAACTCTTCAAGCTTGTGCTAATTTTGAAAGATGTGCTCTTAGTCTCTCGAGTGGTTACTAAGTATCTTGTATAGTACAAATTTATTCAATCTCTAATTTAGAATCGGACCAAAGTGGTGCTTACATCCAAAACAACTAGAGCCTGCATCAAACTCAAGTCTCATTTTAATCTTATAATGATTGAGTAAACCTGAGTATATGTGCAATAATACCTAGCAGATATCATAGAATCCTTACAGCATGGAAACAGACCCTTTGGCCCAACAAGTCCACACTGACCCTCAGACATCCCATCCAGACCCATTCCCCTACAACCCACCTAATCTACACACCCCTAAATGCTACCGCCAATTTAGCATGGCCAATTCACCTAGCTTGCACATCTTTGGACAGTGGGAGGAAACCAAAGCACCAGAGGAAACCTGTGCAGACACAGGGAGAATGTGCAAACTCCACACAGACAGTCACCCAAGCGTGGAATTGAACGTGTGTTCCTGGTGCTGTGAGGCAGCGGTGCTAACCGTTGAGCCACTGTGCCACCCCTTTTGATAAAGAGTCACCAACTCAAGACGCTAACTCTGTTTTCAACTATTCCCACAGATGCTGCCAGACCTGCTGTGTTTCTCCAGAAATTTTTGTTTTTGTTTCAGAAAACAACTCGTGCATGTTAAGAGTTATTTTGTGGTGGGGATCTTGATAGTGTATTGGTTCAAGTAGTGTTTCTACTTTTCATAAATGATATTGGTTTGACATCACAACACTATCCTGCGTTTGTTGTAGAAAGTTAAACTCAAACATATCATTGGTCAAAGATAGGACTGCGGTCCCAAATCTCCAACTATAGCCTCATCGTTAATAATTTTTGGCTAGGATTGCTGAATGTATTCTCTCGTGGCTGCGGCTATCAGAATGACGTTTTTTTTTCCATTCATTTGTGGGACGTGGGCGTCGCTGGCTGGCCAGCATTTCTTGCCCATCCCTAGTTGTCCTTGAGAAGGTGGTGGTGAGCTGCCTTCTTGAACCACTGCAGTCCCCTTGCTGTGGGTTGACCCACATTGCTATTAGGGAGGGAATTCCAGGATTTTGACCCAACGACAATGAAGGAACGGCGACCTATTTCCAAGTCAGGGTGGTGAGTGGCTTGGAGGGAAACTTGAAGGTGGTGTTGTTTCCATATGTCTGATGCCCTTGTCCTTCTCGATGGAAGTGGTCGTGGGTTTGGAAGGTGCTGTCTGAGGATCTTTGGTGAATTTCTGCAGTGCATCTTGTAGATAGTACACACTGCTGCTACTGAGCATCAGTGGTGGAGGGAGTGAATGCTTGTGGATGTAGTGCCAATCAAGCGGGCTGCTTTGTCTTGGATGGTATCAAGGTTCTTGAGTGTTGTTGGGGCTGCACTCATCCAAGCATGTGGGGAGTATTCCATCATGCTCCTGACTTGTGCCTAGTAGATGGCGGACAGGCTTTGAGGAGCCAGGATGTGAGTTAGTTGCCGCAGTATAAGCACTTCGCTGTAATTTTACTATAGTCATAAAGAAGTCCTTATTCAGGCCATTCTCAAGGAGCACTGCAAATGCTGACGCAAGATTGCCTGACAAGATTCTAATGGGAACAGAAAATAGTGCAGAGACATAAAGATAGAAAATATATATAAAAATATCTTTGAGTGTGCATCCAATGATGTGCTCATAAATGCTGTCTTTCCCGGAGGTATCAACAGTCAGTGAACCAGAGTAGGAATATTGGCACAAGTCTGCCCTGTCTGAGGTCAACTAACAACAGTGTTCAAGGTTTGATCCTGGGTCATGGTCCACATGGCTAGAAGTTTTAACCTATTAAGCATTAGGGAAGATGATTAATGTATCATTGTCAGGAAAAGTAGTGTGTGTATTTTGAAACCTGCAGTCTACTGTGGAGATTTGAAGGATGTTTGGGCTGGAAAATGTGAATACTTTGACCAGTCAATCTTCCTTACATTGACCTCTGTTAGCAAAACATTGTTGAATTAATTCAGAGCAGAGAATTGTGAGTATATATTTTGAATAGGTAGTTTTAATATTTATAATTATATGGAAAACTGGCAATATCTGCCAGCTACTCACATCATGGGATTCCTTGATAGCTCATTGGTAGGATGTTGTCGGTGTTGGAGCATTTTAGAGGGGCTGGATAAGGTCCAATTGTTTTCTTTAGAGCAGAGAAGTTTGAGGGAGGATCTGATTGAAGTGTATAAGACTATGAGGGGCATGGACAGGTGGATAAGAAGCAGTTGTTCCTTTTAGTTGAAGAGTCAATAAAAGTGGGATATAGTTTTAAGGCGAAGGGCAGGAGGTTTAGAGGATTTGAGGGAAATAAAAAACATCCGGAAGCGGGGTGGGAATCTGGACTGCACTGCTTGGAAAGGCAGTAGAGGCAGGTAACCTTACATCTTTAAAAAGTACATGGATGAGCACTTGAAATAGCTGTGGGCCAATTGCTGAAAATTAAGATTAATGTAGATAGGTCAGCTCAGACTCAATAGGCAAAGGGCCCCTTCTCTGCTTTATGAGTCTATGAAAATTTGCTGAATTGATGAAAATCTAGTGGAAATGTAAACTAAATCATGCGGAAGTATACAAGTTAAGTAATCTGCATTGAGTTGAGGAAGAAGAAATTATTCAAGGTTCTTACAATTGTCATATCTTGCAACTTTAAACAGAGTTTATGAAGTATGGATGGGGATGAATTTCCGACTGGCTTCTTTCATCTCCCACCATATCCTCGGTGGAATTTCAGCCAGAACTCCATTTAGTTTTAGAATTTCAATAATTCAAGAACAATATTTTAACAAATGCAGTATTTTTTTCTTCTTGTACAGCATATAGTAGTCACAAGGTTTCTGAAGCCAGGAAAATTACAGCTTTGGTTCTTAGCTGTTGTAAAGTGATAGGCTAATATTAAGATTGAATTTGCCACAGAGTTATACATCATTAGGTTTTGTAATAATTTTTCTCCATTACAGTCAATCATCATAGATTTGCAGATTTTTTAAATACAGAATTGTTAGGACCATGTAAGCATCCACAGTGATTTTGATTTCTAAACTAGCCCAGGCAAAGTAATAATTTATAAGCATAAGAGATGGAAAGAAGTTGAGTGATAAGGAATTTCTACTTTCTACTAATCCCAGTTTCTGGTTAATAGCACACAAGTATTATTAAAATAAGAAAAAAGCAACTTAAAATTGTATATAAGAAACGGAATAGCAGCTTGGCTAAGCAGAATGCCTATCCTGTGGCACGTAGGGAGCAGTGGAAGCTTCTTATAACCTGGATAAGCACATGTGCATGAAGTGTCATCAGCTGCACAATTTCGAGTTCTAGATTTTAGAGCTTGAACGGCAGCTACAGTCACTGATGTGCCTCTGTGAGGCAGCGAACTTTTTGGACAACACATTCAGAGAGGGAATAGATGACTCCAGTCTGTCCAAGAGAAACAGGCAAGTAAAGCAGGAGTCAGAGGTCCCATTCACCAATTGGTTTTCCATTCTGGATATTGATGAGAGGATGAATCCTTGGAGGAGTGCAAGAGCCACACCCTTGGCACCACAGTTGACCCAGATGTACAGGAGGGAATGAGGAAGAGAAAACACTATTGATGAGGGATTCTTTAGTTAGAGGAACAGATAAACCTTTCTGCAGCAATCAATGTGACTCCAGGATGGTGCATTGTCTCCTTAGTGCTAGGGTCAAGATTGTCACAGAATGGCTGTTGGACATTCTGCTGGGGGAGGGTGAATAGTCAGAGGTTGTGAACCACATTGGCACTAATGAGACAGATTGGAAGGAGGATGCAGTGCTGCAATTGTAATTTAGGAAGCTATGCATAAAATTAGCAAGTAGGACCTCTAAAGTTACAATTTCCAGATGACACTCAGTGCCATGTAAAAGTGAATACAGAAATAAGAAGCTAAGAAAGATGAACATGTGGCTGAAAAGATGATGCAGGAGGGAAGGTTTTAGATTTCTGGGACTGGCTCTGGGGGAGATGGTACCTTTACAAGACAGATGGGTTGCATTTGAACAGAGCCAAGATGACCATACAGAACTTCAAAAGGACAGTGACAAGTTGGTGGATTGGGTAGATAGGTGGCAGATGAGGTTCAATGTGGAGCAGTGCGAGGTGATACACTTTGGTACAACGAAAAGGAGAGACAATATGAAATAATGGGTATATTCTAAAGGGTGTGCAGGAACAGACAGAACTCGGTGCATACGTACATAGGGTGTTAAAGGTGGCAGGACAGTTGGAGCAGCCGAATGATAAAGCATACAGTATTCTTGGCTTAATTAATAGGTTCATAGAGTACAAGACCAAGGAGGCTATGATTAACATATATAAGACACTGGTTAGACCTCAGGTGGGTACAGTATACAGTCTGGGCACCAGACTTTATAGGAAGGAATGCGAATGTATTGGAGAAAGATTCCAGGAATGAGAAACATCAGTTACGAGGACTGATTACAGAAGCTGGGGCTATTTATCTTGCAGTGGAGGAAGTGGAGGGGAAACTTGACTGAAGTCTTCAAAATCATGACAGTGGACAGTATAGATAGGGAGAAACTGTTCTCACTTGTAAGAGGATCAAGATGCAGAAGGCACAGTTGTAAAATGTTTTGTAAAAGAAGCAAATGTGAACAAGAAAAAGGTTGCCGAGCAAGTGTACAACCTCATCCACAACCCAAGCTACAAATCTTCTCAAAAACTTAGAACTCAACTCTTCCTATCTTGACTCGGTCTTTTCTCCCCTGGTCCAGTCCCTGCCCACTTATATCCGCGATTCCATTGACGCTTTACACCAGTTTCGGAATTTCCAGTTTGCAGGTTCCAGCCACCTCCACTTTATCATGGACGTGCAATCCCTTTACACATCCAACCCCCACCAGGATGGTCTCAGGGCAGTCCACTTCTTCCTGAACCATCCCCACCCACCACCACTCTCCTCAGTTTGACCAAGCTCATCCTCAGCCTGGACAACTTCTCTTTTAACTCCTCTCATTTTTTTCAGGTCAGAGGGGTGGCCATGTGTACCCTTATAGGCCCCAGTTATGCCTGTCTCTTCGTGGGGTACATGGAACATTCCTTGTTCCAATCCTATTATGGACCCCACCCACACCTCTTTCTCTGATATATTGACAATGCCATCTGTGCTGCTTCCCTCTCTTGTCTGGAATTGGAAAAGTTAATTGATATCGATTCCAATTTCCTCCCTGCCCTCATTTTCATTTGGTCTATCTCTGGCTTGTCCCTTCTCTTCCTCAACATCTCTGTTTCCATATCTGGGGATAGTTGGCCACTAATATCCACTATAAACCCACCAACTCCCACAGCTACCTGGATTATACATCCTCGCACTCTGCTTCCTGTAAAGATTCCATTCTCCCAGTTCCTCTGTCTCCTTTGCATATATTCTGGTGAGGCCAACTTCAACAAGGGAGTCTCTAAAATATCCACCTTCTTCCTCAACCAAGGATTCTCCAGTTTTTGATAGGGCCCTCAACCAGGTCCGATCCATCTCCTGCATTTCCGCCCTCACCCCTTCTCCTCTGTCCAGCAACAGTTAGGGTTCCCCTTGTCCTAACCTACCATCCCACCAGCATCCACATCCAGAAGATCATCAGCTGTCATTTCCGCCACCTCCAGCGAGATGCCACCACCAGACATATATTCCCCTTCCCTCCCTTGTCTGCCTTCCACAGCGATTGTTCCCTCTGGGACACCCTGGTCCAATCTTCCTTCACAACACCCAACAACCCCCACAACCCCATGGCACCTTCCCCTGTAACTGCCGAAGGTGTAATACCTGTCTATTTACCTCCTCCCTCCTCAACATCCAAGGGCCAAAACATACCTTCCAGATGAAGCAGCACTTTACCTGCACTTCACACAATCTAGTCTACTGCATTCGTTGCGCACAATGTGGTCTCCTCTACATTGCAGAAACGAAGTGTAGACTGGGTGACAGCTTTGCAGAACATCTATGTTCTGCCTGCAAAAAAGACCCTGAGCTTCCAGTTGCCTGTCACTTTAACACACCACCCTGTTCCCTGGTCAACATCTTTATCTCAGGCTTGCTGTAGTGTTTGAGCGAAGCTCAGCGCAAGCTGGAGGAAAAACAGAGACA